ATATATAGGGTTTATTACCTTAATTATTCATATTGGTCTGAGAAATGTAGCAGATAAAATATGTTTACAGTTGATCCTTGAACAATGCAGAGGTTAGGGGCACTGACCCTCTGTGCAGTTGAAAATCTTCATATAACTTTTGATTTCTAAAATGCTTAACTTCTAATAGCTTACTGTTGACCAGAATGCTTACTGATAACATAAACAGTTGATTAACAACATATTTTGTATGTTTTATGTATTATATACTGTATTCGTACAGTGAAGTAAGCTAGAGAAAAGAAAATGTTATTAAGAAAATTATAAGGAAGAGAAAATATATTTACTGTTCATTATGTGGAAGTGGATCATCATAAAGGTCTTCATCCTCATCATCTTCATGTTAAGTAGGATGAGGAAGAAAAGGAAGAAAAGGGGTTGGTCTTGCTCTTTCAGGGGTGGGAGAAATCGAAGATGTAGAGATGGTAGAAAGGGAGGCAGGAGAGGCAGGTACATTTGGTGTAACATTTATTGAAAAAAATCTACATGTAAGTGGGCTCATGCAGTTCAAACCTGTGTTGTTCAAGGGTCAACTGTATGTTCATTTTATAGTGAGAAAGAAGATATCTGTAAACTTAAATTCGAACTTATCTCTCATTTTTAACACATTAAATAATTTTAAATACCAATGACAAATTTAATTTTAAAATTATGGATTCAAGTCATTATGTTACAAGTTTTGACAATAATAATAGTTAGAAGACTGCCAAACAGTCCCAGTTTTCATGGTAATATCTTCCTTGAAATTGTGTTGAAAAGCAGAGAAAAATAAGCTTAGCCACTATCTGGTCTCACTTACTTGCTTTTAACATTTTTCAGTATTTGCGTAAGATGATTAACATGGCTTATGTATGGGTTGTGGAAAAGGAAAAATTAGCTTCTGAAAATGATTCAACAGCAGCTGAAATTAATGAATAAGGAGATGAATGAATGTATCAACCAGAAGAAATGGGAAAGTGGGGGGTTTTTTAGGTCTTCTGTCCAATGAAAGTCTTAGCAGAATTAAAGGTAGTGAAAATTACAAACTGTCTGATATAACAATGACTAATAATAATGCTGATAGTTTTGATGAGTGATTTTTATAAAGTACTTATTGTGTGTCAAGCACTGTTCTAATATCTTTACATATGGGCCAACAATTGGATTGTCGAATCAGACTGACATGAATTGGAGGTGTTAATCAATATCAAGCTTTCCTTATGATTTCAAGGATACAAGCAATCGAAAGGAACAGGAGAAGCAGAGAGAGAGGTCCTGGACATTGAGAGACTCTCCCAGATTATTTCTTACCACAACAGACAAAACTCTCAAGCCCAGATCAGTAGATGACATCCTTAATGAAGTACATGGGTTATCTAACACAGCAAGGAGTGTCACAGCTGTGTGACATCTCCATTTTGTACCCAGATGGTTGCATAGCTCATGCCTATGCCACATGCCCCATGTCCCACACATCTATGGATTCTAGGTTTGTTTATGATACTAATCCTAAATCAGTAGTATTTTGCTAAAAGCCTTTCATGGGTACTTTTAAAAAAAATATTTTAAGTAAATACCGTTAGCATATTTGCTAGCTATTAGCATGATTATAAGATTAGCTCAGATCTTCTGCCTTCCTTTTCTTCCTAAGAGAGCCTCTCATCCAACAGAAAAATAATGATTTAATTCTTTCCTCTCCAACAGATTAACTCATTCAAATTGAAATTCACTTTTTATTTATTTTTTTAGTATAAACCAAGTAAAATATATTAAGAAGAATTAAAACACATCTAAAACATCTTTTATTTCATTTGGTTTGGTTTAGTTAGGTTAGTAGGGGCTGGGGAGAGAAATACAGTGAGAAATACACAGTAAATATAAATATATTATTGTCATCAATGGATATCCACAATAGTAATTTGTTGTATTTGTTTTGTGTGTGTGTGTGTGCACACTTCATATACAATTATTTATTTGATTTTAGAATAGTCGAGAAATCGTATGATGTTTTTAATTTTCAATTTCTCTGTTTTTCTCAACCCAACCTTAAAATCAGGATGGAGATCCAGTTCGCCCAGGAGTGGCTATGACTGATCTTGCCACTGGCCTGTACTCATATGGAGCCATTATGGCTGGATTGATACAAAGATATAAAACTGGAAAAGGACTGTTCATTGATTGTAACCTACTGTCATCTCAGGTACCAATCCAAATAACATTTTAGATAATGGCATAAAAACTGTGTTCGGGTTTACCTTTTCAGATAAAATCCTGTCATCACATGTACTAAAACAATTTAAAAAAACCCCAAAACAACAGACAGAAACAACACCACCACAACAAAAGCTGTTCTGTTTTGATGTATGTTTTCATAGTAAAACAAATAGGCTATGAAAATTTTGTTGTGATGTAGACATTGTTGTTGGACTAGAATTTTACAGGCTGTTTTTACTGGAATGGGTCTATTACTACTTGTGAGATAGGAGTACAATTTCTATTTTATCACATGAGCTCTGTAACTTCTTTTGCCTAGAGTTTCTTTACCTTTTACGTGTCATAGACCCCTTTGGTAGTCTGGTGAAGTCTGTGAACCTTTCCTTGAAATTATGTTTTTTAAACACATAAAATGAGATTCTTAGGATTATAAAGGAAGCCAGTTATATTGAAATATAGTTATTCAATGTAAAAATCAAATTTGTGTTATATATAATTTTTACTAACATATTAAATCATGAGATTTAGCAGTGGGTTTAATACTATTAAAATTCTGTGGTAGTGTTGAGCATAAATGATATTTCAATGTATCTGTAATAACTGTAATATGATATGAAAATATGTGTAATATTAATTGGTGATCAAGTCATAGGTACTGCTAATACTCTTGTGATTTGTTGCCAGCATTCATAATTGAAGAAAATGCTAAATTTTAGTTAGAAGTTGAAGAAAATAAAGATATAATTTTTTTCCACTCAAGGTTAATTAATTCCTAGAAATATGTCCATAGACTCCAGATTAATAACCTCTGGTTTAGATAGTTATCAGTTATGTTGTGCTACATACTAAACTGGTAGAACAAAAGGGTTAACTCACTCTCAAAATGACATTTTGCCTCCTTTTTACTGGATCAGACCCAGATGCTGTACCATATGAGGAAGTTGATTCTGAATAGATAATTTTTCAGGGATAGAAAAAGAAAATATCTAATTTGTGCAAGGAGACATTTTACTGTGGGAAAAACTACTTTCTGGATATAGAGACCTCAGTTGGGAATTTCAGATTTAAAAGGCATACATGGGAAAATAGTAAACTTGGAACACTGCTTTGGACATTTTTTTCTCTTAGGCAAAATTAAGGAGGTGTATAGAAATAAAAAACATCAATATGGTTGAAGATGAAATACTATGTATGGGTTTTCACATAACAGTAGCTTTGAATCAATCAGAATTTTAATGGTTCTTTAAAGGGTAAAAGAACTCTCTTCAAATGAATGATCTTGCTCCTTAATAGAGAACCACGGATGTTAGTTATAGGAAAGAGCTGAAAGTCTTTTCTTCTTTCCCCTAATTTTATAGCTGGGGTAGGTTTTAAACCTGAGGTAGGTTTAGTGACTGGATAAAAGTTGCACTAATAAGTGTGGAAGCCATGAAGGTTTCATGGGCGTGTGACCCATGAAACTATACTGTCATAGAAGGCTCTGGGCTTAGTTAAATGTTCTGCTATCACTGCTTTGACATTCTTAATAATTTTTGAACAAGAGGCCCTATAATTTTCATTTTGCACTAGGCCTCACAAGTTATGTAGCATGTTCTGGAGTTGGGACTTTATGTAGGTCTCCTGATTTCTACCTAGACTGCTTTACTCTATACTTCAATTATTAATTAATTAGCTTTTGAAAAAAATCTCTTGTATTATAGAGTTTAATTCTCTTCCAGCACCTAACTAGTGATTCACCATGTGAAGGTGTGTGTTTCCCTGGGGGTGGAGGTGGGGGTGGGTGGCATTACCTGCAGAGCTCTTTCAAAGTGAGGACACAGTGAGAGGAAACTCATGCATACATACACACAGATATATAGTCCAGTCATTTTTGGTGTGTGCATGTCTATGTTTATTGTCCATGTTCCTTGAGACTGCAAATTCCATGAATGCGGGGACAATGCTTGTTTTTGTTTACCGTGGCATCCCCAATGCCCAGTCCAGTGTTTGTCAAATAGCAGGCTTTCCCAATTTTTAGAGATTAATGGAAGAACCACTGGTACCAATGGGAATGTCTCATAGTCCCTTAGGTTTATTAGGGAAGATGAGAAAAAGGTAGAAAACCATTGACTTAGGATAAGTACTTGATAAACAGCTAATGATGAGATAATTTGCTTTTATACTATTATACAGTGATTTGGCCTATTGTACTGTCCTTAACTCAGTCAAAGCTTGCTAAAATTACTTTATTTAAGACTCATTAACTATCTTCTAACAAAAAAATCCATTATGTCTTGTCTTAGAGCTATGAACTTTCACATCTTCTATTTTATATGATCCTCAACAATAATTGATCACTTTAGGTCGGTGGGTAGCGTAGGAATTTTTATTCCTGTTTTACTTGCAAGGAAACTGAGGCTAAGAGCGGTTTACTTGCTTAAGCATCAGAGTCACAGCAAGATCTCTGGTTCTGACATCCCAACTGGATCTCTTGTCCCTATTTTTTAAGGTAAAAGCTCTGGCACTGAGAGGCAGGCAAGCTTTAGGCTTTCCTCTGGTGAAGCTCCAGGGGAGAAGGCAACTCGAATAAGAGGTAGAGAAAGCAAACAGCGAGCATTCAGTGACAAACACATAGCAAGGCCCCCACCCCATCCCACACACAAAACATACCAAGAGCCACAAAAAGATAGTGCAACAAAATGGGCTCTTCTGGATCATTACCTACCATGTTTTGATCCAGTGAGTGACGACTATCATGGAATTTAACTTACAGTCAAGTGTTTTTGTTGAAATATAAGAATTTTGAGAAAAACGGCATTTGAAGTCATAGGATGACTGGACTTTTTGTTTCAACTCTAATCAACAGAGCACTCATTGTGTCCCAGGCTCTGTGCTAGCTGGGCTAGGAAAGGGAGGTGAGACATCTGTTCAAGGCTTAGTAGTAGATACAGCCAGGTCATATGGGAGAGTTGGAGTCATATGTGAGCTGCAGCTTGAAGGATGAGGAGTGGTTCACCAAATTGGGCATGAGAGAGAGGTGTAGTCCTGGCATGGCTAATGGCAAGTGTCAGGGCAAAGAGATATGACAAAGTTGGAGCTTGGAATATGAGTGGGGAATGGCAGGAGACGAAGTCAGAGAACTTGGCCAGGCCAAGAGTGTTAGGGGGTCTCATATGTCATGCTTAGGAATTTTGATTTTAATTTCTCAAGGCTTCTGTTTCTCTATCTGTTAATTTTATTATGTGATGGTTTTTTCAACCAAAGAATATGTCTCCTTGAATACTTGCTACAGCTGCTCCATTCAGAATAGCCTCTGGGCTATGAATAGTGGCTGGAAAGCTCCACAGGGCAGTGGTAACAGATAGTAATTAATGCTAAAGCTTACCTGAAATACAAGGCAATGGGTGATAGGAACATTTTCACTCTCTGAACCCACTGCAGCCAGAACTCTGTTTTTCTCTTCCCTTTGCCCTATTCCCGGTCTCTGGGCTGCCTCCTTTCTCCTGATGTGTGCTTCTCTAGCCTGGGCATCTCTTTTCTCCTGTCTTTTTCTTGCTTGTCTTTCTTTACTTTCCTGTTTTCACTCCTCTTCTATGCTTTCTGCCTTTTCTTTCTCTCTCCCTTTTCCTCCATCCTTCCTTATGTGGTGCTAAAGTTGTAGAGGTTCTGATTCCAGATCTTACATTCTTGTAACGTATCATTCAGGAGGCTTTCAGAATATTACAATAATTTCACAGAAGAAAAGGGAAGTTCCCTTTCCTAGAAGTCCCAGAAAACAAAACCATATATTTCCCTTGTTTGAGTGATCATTCCCAAACTGATTACTGAGGCCTGAAAGAACGAATACGCTGATTGGCTTAAGCCATCCCTGGTACTAAGACTGGGGTTAATTCTATCCAAACTGTATGGTTGAGACCAGGAGAGGCGATTCCCCCAAGGAATAGTGAGGTTATTTTTTGGCCACAGGAGAGGAAAATGGATTTTGAGGAGGCAATTTACAAATATTCACGATACCAATATAACAGGGTTGTTTTGAGGATCTAATGCAATAAAGGATGTGAAAAATGCTTTGTAAATTAGAAAGTATTTTACTGATGACTAACATTAATTTTATTAAGTCACTGAAAAAATATTTCACAGTGTTAGAAATATGCTGAAATTAAAAAGTTGGTTATTGACATAATTGTTATCATCATTATTATAATTTCATAATAGAGAAATCGACTAACTTCAATTCGGTTTTCAAGATAACATTTATAGATTCTAGATCCAAAAACCAAACCAAAAAATGATTACAATCTGCTTTATGTAAATAAGAAGTACTTTTTCTAGGTACATTTTAAAGAAGCATAACAGAAAACTTCACCTTTTTTTAAATAAAAAAGTATTCAGTGTCTTCTTTTTACATAAACGTTCACCTGCATTAAGCAGATAACATTTGGACTTAATTTCAGCTGCGTGGCAAGTGACTACGATTTCATGCAGTGGTAAAAAACATACTTTTCTATTTCTTCTGATTGCATTACATAGGATGACGAATGATTATAACATTCAATGCTAGTTGCTAAAAATGAAATTTTTCTCTCCTCTTAAAAGTGATCCTAGTGTAAAATAGAAAAATTATACTTGATTTGAATAGTAGCTAATTATTAACTCTGAGATGATTGCCTGAACCACAACAAAACTATTTCAAGGAGTCCGTTGTAGGGACATGACAATTGCCGGGATGTGGTTTGTAGTGGGCACCAAATTTTTTGTAGTTTCAAGGCTATAAACTTTTAACCCTTGTCAAAAATTCTTTTGATATTTTTTAGTCTGAATTTGATTTAATGTTGTCCACTCAAGATTGTCTAACATCGGCATCTGAACAGTGTTCTTTAGATGATATTGGTAAATAACAAGGAAGTGGGTTTGGATGTGGTTCCAATTATTCTGTTGCTCTTATTCTTCTGTTGTGGCTTACAGAAATATCTTTTGGAAGTTTTAATATCCTTCCTGTACTTAATT